ATATATATATATATATATATATATATATATGATTATATATAATATAATATATAGAAATATCGTTTATTATAAATATATTTATTGTACAAAAAAAAAATAAATACATAAAGGGAAATGAAAAGTTATTATTTCTCAACATTTATCTAGGTATTATTATTTAATTTTACATATTTTTTTAAATAATTAATTTAAGATCTTTTAAAAATTTGTCTAGTGTTTCTATTCATTTGATTTATCATACTATTATTAGTCCATTCGATAGATAGAAAAAACTGATGTTAAACAAAACAACGTCCCTAACACAATAACACTATTCTACTGTTCGGAATCAGTCTCTGAACAAACTCATCTAAGGCATTTCAAATTAATCTAAATGACATAAAACGCGAGCAGCGCGTAAAGGTCACGCGGACATTTCTATTAATGCGGGTAATTAATATTAATTCATTATTACGATGATGTCCGTACATTATATATTTAACGATACTACAATGTCGAATGAACTTAACGTCGCGGTCGGTGTATCGTACTGATTCTTACTAATTTAGTCTGTCAGTTGGTGTAGGTAATTTACCAAACGAATACGTCCAGACAATTATATTCGACAAAATTATACAGTACGCGCGTTCGACGAACAAAACTTTTCCTAATATCGGGTATTCTGGTTCGTTCCATATTTTGTCTATGGGTATATATCCGAAATCATTATATTAGTATAATTTTCTGGTCTATGTGTTTTTTTTGCCATTCGATAAAATATTTTTAAAAGTGTTATCTAAATATTCGATTTTGCTAAATTAATTATTTCGATACGTATGATAATAATTGTATTGTTTATATCAATTTAATTTTAAATATTTCTACTTAAACGCTATTGATAGATTTTTTATACACCATAGAGAGACGCATTCACAAAATAATATAAGAGTATCATTACATTTTATAGTTTGGGCCAATTGAACAGGTTATTTGGTAATTTATATAATTAATAATAATTACGTCTCACAACTTCTGTGGAATAATTCAGAATAACAAATGTAAAGGGAAATACCAAAATAAGTTTTTATTTTCACATAGGTACCATGGAGTAAAGTTGGTTAAAGAGCTGCCAGTTGCTGATGAAACGCATTTGTCGGTTTTTGCTAAAAATGAAAAATTACCGTATAGTCTGTTTAATCAGTAAGCGTTTTTACTACACTTTAAAATATAATACAATGGTGGTAGAAAACAGGGGGAGATTAGGCCTCGGGTTTTCACTTCGGTGAAGCACATTAATCCACTGAAACGTCAAAACGCTGCAAAAGATTGTTGATTAATTGAAACCTTTACACTATCTTATTTTTCGGAGTTGACTCCGCCATAAATTCGACGACGTGGGGCCTGCTTTCAATTGAGATCGGTTATAATAATATGCGGTGGTGAGTTTCAAAAACGTAAAAAAAAAATCGCTAAAAAATGTTATTATTCAAATTATTAATTTTGTGGACAACCGAGGAAATTCATTATATATTATTCCATGTGCGCTGTGCACTGTAACATTTTGGTGATGGCCGAAGGGGAGCTTAATTTATAATAAACGATTTCTGTTCGATAACAATTATTACACACAAACGTCTTATAAGAGATCACAGAACATTTTTCTAAAATAATAATAATTACAATTACTTTTATTATTGTTATTAATAATTTAGAATCTATATAATCTATAATTACTTATAATATTATGTACCTATGTATATAATAATATGGAATATTAAATTATCGTAAGTTAAGCTTTTTACGTCATAAAAATTAATATAAAACCAACAATCAAATGGAACGTGCTAGTGCAGTGGGTATATAATATATCTAGATATTAGATTATTATATATATTTTATAAGATGAAGTTTGAATTGCTACTAATTCAATTTTACTATATATAATTAATATTATTATTATTATTATTCCCGAAGTGTTCGAATAAGAATATTATAATACTTTTCTATATAATTACAACGATAAATATATATAATAAGAATATATATATATATGTATATATATTTATTTATTTATATTTATTTATGGGGTAAAATTAGGCTATACGCAATCGTATACTCACATGCACATATTATGCAATATATAATATGCACACGAAATATAAGATTAACTTCGAGTTAACAGCGATAGGTAAATTGGATTTATATTATTATATATATTATAATATAATATTATAGTCTAATAGCGATATATAGTGCGTTAAATTACGAATGTCAGAGGTGAACGTAACCCCCCCCCCTCCCAGAAATATCAGTAAAACCAATAAAATACAAAATAAAAGTCGAATTAACTTACAACGATACAAGAATGACGAGTCCACCGCCCCCACCAAGAAATATTTTCCGGATCCCCACGAATGCAAGCAACGTGTATTATACTATAATATAATATTAATATAATCACGTGGTATAACATGACGCCCGTTTATGGTCTGCGTTTCGACCACATGAATAATAATAATTAATATTATGCACGAAAATGAATGAGATTTAATCCCGAAAATGATCTAAAACCTACAACTTACAGCATGGCGCGTTTTTGAGACCGTCGTCGGCATGTCGTCCGGAAAAATATTTTCCGTCACATCCGTCGATCGTCATACATATTTTATTTTATATGCTCTTCACTGTCTGATCTATACGATAATTTCCGCAGCATCGCGATCGCGGGCGCTGGGAAAAATGAAAAATACTAGATAGACGTGTCGTCCCGTTGCCGCAATCACGAATTTATAACGGATGTGCCAGAGTTTCATTTTGATATCATTATTTTAGCTCTGCCGTGTTAATAATGGGATTATTGATTGACAAAAATCTGTGAAGAAAACGACGGTAAGACGAACGCGGACATAAATCTGTGTAGGTCGTGATGCGTACAACTATATATGGTTGAAATGTCACTGACCACTGTGTCACAGGCAGTAACAGCTATAAGATCAGTCGTGTTTGTTGTGTCTAGTATAGGTATAGATTTATACCTGTGTAATAGGGCTGTGCATCGCCTATTGTACGACCAAAGTACATCGTTATACGTATATAAATTATAATTATATATTTTTACACGGCAGTATAAAATATAATATATTGTATAGCTAAGTATAGTCGAGGAACTGAAATTCGATATTATCGTTATTATTTCACTTTACACTGTACCGCGGGACGTGTACATTTTATATTGTTATAGTCATAAAATTATTATTGTAATGGCGCCGAAAAACAACTCAACGACCTTACCACCGCGTTGTGTATTATAATATTATTATTATACCTTATTTTACGACCTATTCCGCAGATCGGTAGTGGTGGCTGTAAGTATACTGCTGCAGTAGGTCACGTGAGTGCATAATATTAAAAACGCATATACGGAAATGCAGACTGCAAAGTCGTAATACGCTTCGTTGGTAAACCGCATTAGACGGGTGTGCATTGAGTGTTTGGATGAAAAACCTGATAATATAGAAAACCATCGGCTGGCGATTTTTTTTCGTCTTCACCGTAGGTTCGCTTTTGTGCAAAATATATTATATACGACACGTATCGCGTGTATAGGTATTATAGGTATATTATCGTCATATCGTCTCCGCGAGTCCCCGCGGGGTCGTTAAAAATTTTTGTTTTTTTTTCTCCCCATCAAAATTTAGAAAACTCGATTTGAAATACGCTCCGACAACTCCCCCTTTCGTAAGGTGTGTCATACATAATAGCTATCAATGTGTTCCCGACCATTGTCGATATCCGCGCTCAGTCGTTTCGTCCATCACCGACAGCTAAAACCGTTATAAAAATATGTATACTGTCATAATATAATACGATAACACACATATTATTATGATAATGGTACGGTGCATAAACAAAAAGGGAGTCGCCTGAGTGAGACCGATTTTCAAAATTATACTTTTTTAATAGCCTGAGTTCGTCCGGAATTTGATTTCGCTGCAGACAATTTTGGTAGAGCCTGACTGCGTCCGTAATTGTAACGTTAATATTTGTGATTCGTCATTTGTATTCTCATCCGGGTTTATGATTATATTAATTTTTAGAATTATAAAAAAAAATTATAATTTATAGAAATCGACCATTCAATCTTCTCATCAAAACCTAAACAAATTACATTGATTGAGAACAGTGTCAGAAAATTCACCAAAATGCAAATTACAAACAATTTGGATTCTGTGAAAATAATGACATTTAATAATCAACCAAAAATACCTTTGTGATGCAATTATTAATAAAAAATAATATTTAAATGTTAAATTGAGAACATTACAGAAAATAATATTTAAATAAAAATCACTTAAGCAAATTATTGGGGTGTAATCTGGTTCACCTCCTCGCGGGTGCACCCTGGATAAACGCGTTCCGTGTAAAATGGGACTCACATGCGCGCTAGGCAATACATAAATGATTTTTATTTTGAGAAGGATATACCTTTTTTTATGGACCCACTCGGAACATTATACTGTGGGTATCATTTTGAATCGTGTGGGTAAGCGTGGGTCAGTGACTCGTGACTTTGGTCGGAAGCGATGGAAAGTACTCATAGAAAAATAATAAAACGATAGTGATATAAAAATAAGTATGAGAAGAATAAGACGAAGAAAAGACGAAGAAGAAGAAGAAGAAGAAGAAGAAGAAGAAGAAGAAAAAGAATAATTATAGAGAAAGACCGTCGACGAGGGACATATTATTATACACGCCGTATGTGTCGCATTTCGGAGTCACAATATACGACGTAATCGCATTACAATTTTCAAGTATACAATAATAATAATAATAATAATAATAATAATAATAATAATAATAATAATAATAATACATGTATACGGTATACTCGGGGCGTGCGCGATTCAAATATAATTAATAATATGATCGCATAATAATATTATATCGTCAATAATAATAATAATAATAATAATGATTTCGCGCGCGACCGCGCGTACTCGTCCACTCTCGGCTCGTCGCCATTAAGGACAACCGCACTCGTCGATGACCATTTTGGGCAGGTCCCGCTTGATGATGTTACCGTCGTCGGTGAAGTAGATGAGCGACATGGACGAGAACTTGACGGGCGCGCAGCACGGCTGGAATATGGACGAGTGTTTGGCCTTCCGGTAGTCCTCGATGGCCTGAGTGTAGAAGTTGAGGTACGTGTCCGGTGTCCTGTGCACACCGCCGCAGTCGCCGCGACAGTAGTTTGCGTAGTAGCCGCCGGGCGCGATTATCCACGAGTCCCAGCCGATGTCCTGGAACTTGATGTAGAACCGCTGTTTGCAGCACTGGCCGCGCACCGCCAGCGAACAGTCCAGCGCCCGGCGGCGCACGCGCCTCGCCACCGTCGGGTCCGTGTACACCATCAGGAACGGGTTCTCCCACTCGTTGGCCTGCCTGGTGTCGTGGAACAGCACCGGCGACACCAGCCCGCCGCACCCGGAACAGTCGATGTGGAACCGCAATCTGTGTTTGCCGCTAGACCCGTACCACTCGCGCACCGTGTTCGTCACGTCCACCGATATCCAGCCCAGGTTGTTCAGCGACAGCGACAGCGACGACGCCAGCGTGGCGTGCTCGTCGAATTCCTGTTCGTGTAATATAATATGCAATGAAAATATTATATAATAATTAATATTATAATATCGTATACCTATAGACCGTAATCCCTCTATAATATAATATAAAAAAATAAGTTGTGAGAAAGTCAGTACTTTATTTTTTTAAGTAAACATCTAAACGCTTTTCTGGTGAGACGAGTTGTATATATTGTATAAAAAAATTAAAATTTAAAGTATGCCATTTTGCTAATAATTTTCAGATAACAGTATAATATATAATCTGACCAATGACAACCATTTATATATGAACAAAAAATATTCGATTTTCGTGAGTCAAAACGAAGTTTATGTGCATTGAACCACGCTATAGCGATCGCATACAGGTTGAAAAAGAAGCTAATAAAGACCCTCCGAGATTCGAGGAATTGACGCAGCTTTTATTGAAATCGATCAAGAAATTTCTGAGATTGACCGTTCTTTACGCTATCGTGATTTCGTTTGTTCACTTACATTTTCTGGTAGTGGGCACGTATAGATAGATGTTTACACATCAAAAAGTTTTATACATTTAAATATTTAATCTTTCACATATTTTATGTTTAAACATTTTAAATTACAGATATTAAATTTTAAGATACAAAAGTACCTCGGGGGTTTGTTACAAGTCGACGGGGGTCTTGACCCTCTCCCCCGGGGAGTTGGGGAGTGATTCGAGTCGGTGGAAGAGCCCCTAGTAATATTATTTTATGATGTTTTAATATTTTAATATCGTTATACTGTACGTGGGACGCCTCATGCTGGCTGCATTGTAAACCATTGTTTACTCGTACCTATCGGTGCTGTATCCTCATTGTATACTGCAGTACGTACACATAGGCGGACTTAAGGGCGGTATGGTTGGATTAAGAGACTAAAAAACAACGAAGCTGCACGTTCTACGCAAAAGATAAGTCTATAATGATAAATGGGCCATCATTATGCTATATGTTCGAAATTCGTAAGATTAACGTCTTGTCCTATACGTAAACCAGACGAGTTCGGCCATATTTCTATACTGATCATGCTGTTTCGCAGCACTATACAATGCGTCAGATGCGGCAGAATGCAAGCTGTTTTGTTTTTTTCAGACTACCAGGATTTACGTAAAGCTCCGCTAAAACTCAAATCCCCCTACGACTCTGTAAATCTATGTTTATACTGAACCATAGTATACTGTACCACATATATTTTAATTATGAGTCTTATACTTCACCTACCGTCTGCATCGCAGACCTTTATTATGATTATAATGTCTTTGAAATTGAACTTTCAAAAATAAACAGAATTGCGATCGCGTTTCCGCCGTTATATATCCATATATGTATAGTATAACCAAACTTGTGAACTTGAGAGTTGGCGCCAACAGTTACAACAAACATAAAGATATTGTGTGGACATATTTCGGCCAATACCCCCAGAATATGTTCAAACTCGCCCTTGAGGACTAAAGAACCGATGCCCCATTGTTAGAATCTATATTTGACTATGAATGTCAAGCCTTCACAGATGCATTATTATATTAATTGAAAATTGTCACATATTATATTATATAATATGACGAGTTACGACATCATTTCCCTGTAAGTCGTATGTAATGTGCCTATGCGTTTACGCAGTGCGACGTGTTGGCGTAGAACGGGGTTTTTTTTGCGGGGATATAGTGATTGGGAGCGACGATCGAGAAAAATGTTGTAGACTAGAATGATGGGATAAATCCGCCCTTTGAGAAATCACGTAATAATAAGTGTGAGCGGGAACGTGCGTATACTTATATATTATAGAGAATGCGTGTAGACGTGCGTGCAAGGCTGTCTGGCCCATGGGAGTCTGAGGACTTCCGTCGACTTGCGTCATTATAGCGATATAGAGTGGAGGAGAAGAAAACCTGCAAGACATGGGTAAACTACGGTCTACGAGTTCCATATAATATTCTATGTTATGTTCGGATGATAACACAATATGAGGCTTTTTTATGATTGATATACAAATAATTTGTATCGATTATTACCAAACCTCTGGTACAAAAAAATAATAGTACACATTTTTATTTGTAAGTAATTTTCAACTATATAGCCACTATGTTTGTGGTACTGAACCGCCGCACTCAAACGCATAATAATATTATTATCATAATACTATGTTATCCTCGATATATCATTCCGAACTCAACGTTACCATATGCACTCTGAACACCCATGGCAGTATGTAATTGCGTACACATTTTATTGTTTTAGGAAACATTATAGCGTTATTTTAGCGATCGCATTAAATTGTATGGCAAAAGATTTATTAGTAGTTATTATATAATATATACACTCTATCAGTTCGTTTGGGGTTAGACTAGGTCTTAGTGACCTATTTGAATCATTTCCAACCGTTGTGGATTATACATAATATGCATTGGACGATGTGATATTCTTTTATAATAATATGTACTACTACAATAATCGATTACCACTTACATCCGCAATCGATCATTGTTTAAGTACAATTATTATAATGTTATAGCGTTCTATATGATATATGTATTTGCAGAAAATTAAAATTAAAATAATTTTCGAGATGTCACTTAACTTAAAATATACAATGATGATATATGCAAATTTTTCTAATCTACCGAGAATAAAAAAAAATTTTTTTTAGTTTATAATATTTTATAAATATATTATGTAATAATATTATAGTTCTTTATCAAACTGTTTTGTAGAAGTTAAAATACAAATCTAAATGGTACAATAATATAATTTTCTAAGATACTACGACTACGCTAATTGTAATAAATGTTGTGTATTTTTTGCGAAACATACCTTACCACTTAGGAACGTGGTATTCCGCATTGGGTTCGTGCGAAAGTTTATTTTGAACAGCCATAGAGTTACATTGTGACTATGGTGGGTCCTACGCGCGGCCGGGGGAACGTCCGGCCTGTATTCTAACCTAAACCACAGCTTCGCAGACTTGACTTTAACGGAATCAGTGCTTCCCATATCCTGTGACCACGGGAATTCTAATAACGTTTGTCCGTTTAACGTAGATCCTGGAACAATACAAATTAAAACGTAAAATTGTATATTATGTTAAAATATAATAGTAAAATCATGTTTACAAACAGAATTTCGTCCAACAAATCCGAAAAGTCTTATGCAATCCAACAAGCATATTATTAAATTATATTTATTATGTTACAAATATTTCAAAAATCCTACTTTATAATATCAATTATAGCTCACAGGGACATAGTAGCTCGTATTACATTGATTAACGTGATAACAACTGCAAGATAATTTGCCATCGTCGAGACATTTTAATAATATCTACTTTGTAATATCGATAGCACTCTAGACAAGTTCAAACCACAAGGGTTTGGACTTTGGAAACAACGTGGTTACTGGTTTGTAAGTTGTACCTACCCCGTAATCTAACAATGTGCAACTATTATAATATGTAACTCTATATACGATGCTCGAGTCGAATTCGAGGTACTTGTGGTTTTTTAATGCGGTGCTTACATTTCATATTTATAAATAATAATACTATTGTAAAAATTGAATTTTAAACGCTAAATTAATAATACAGTCTATCAGTCTATGAGTGAATAAAATTATTGGGCAAAAATGAAAAAAACAACGAATTAGGTACAACAATTCACAGAAAAACATATTTATATTATTATTATAACATTTTTTTAAGGAGAGGCTTCATATATATAGGGTTATTAGTTATTACTTATTACCACCGTTGAATACCACAAAACCGCACACTTTGGTATGTATATATTAATTATTATAACACACATAATGACGAAAGCTGAAAGTTATATCAATTACGCGTCCGTACGAACTGCAGGCTCCGTGCCAAATATTATGACTTTTACAGTAAAAAAAAATTCGAGCAAGTTCAAAATTAATTTGTTCTCGATTCTGTTAAAACGTATCACTTTATCGAATCATAGAAACTACATTTTACTGTTAACTTTTAAGTTACATTTTATTTTATCGCTCACGAATTTAACCAAAATAATTTAACCACAATGCGCTGTGCGGCATTATTTGAAATTTGTATCTTTCGTTCTTTTCATATCATTATCTTATACACGTGGCGCATGGCACCAACCATTATTTTACCATATCGATACAAAGCAATATTTTTAGTCTCGAAAGACATAATATTAATTTATTTAGGTTACAACCGTCAGCAAAATATGACATCCACGTTGGAGTATAAAATAATGTAACATTGTACTACAACAGAGTTGTACTAGAATTGACGTAGCTTGTATAGGTGTGTCATAATAGTAAAATGCAATAATATTATTATCATCATCGTTATTTCGGAGAAGAATAACAAACGCACAGCATGCTCGTGACCCTCTCTGCAAATGCAATAAACGAAGTTCCGTCTTACTTAGCAGGAACTATTTCTCATTTATCCAAAACTTGATTTGAAGATGACGTTTGGTTCAGACTATATGTACCGCTCTGCAGCGTATCATCGCCGGAAATTCACGGCGTTTCGAAGAATCGGCCAGCGTTCATTGTTTAATATAATATAATATTATTCATTTTTATTGAAAGTGGGGTTGCTGCTGCAATCCGGGGGGGGGGAGAAGAGGTTCTCGGAAAGCCTCCCCGTTCTCCGGATAACATAAACGTTTCGTATATTAATATAAAATATATCTCCGTCGGCGGCGGCATGGTCGTCGCTTTCGTAATCGTCGTCGTCGTCGTTTTCGTCATCAACCGACGGTTTCAATAGTGTGCACTATATAATAATATCACAATATTGCACCGTCGCGGTCTTAAATGCGCCTCGTCGATAAAATGTTTATCGTGTTGTTAAAGACGCTCGCTGGTGTGCGAAAGTCGTTACTCAAGACTCGCGTGCCATTACAAAGTATTCGGTATACAATAATATAATAGTGTGATGCACAATCGAAATTAAATCCGCTCCTGCGGCCTATACGGTCGGACGGGCGTTTCGGACGACATAATAATAATAGTAATGTATAATAAAATGCGTATAATATTATAATATAATATTATGAGACCATATTATTATTATTTTACTACTCGGCAGACACGTGCGGCGCGTTATATGGGCACTATAATAATATGCGCCCGGCAATCGCGGTTGCATACGATTATAATATTTTATATAGCCGCGTTAATATAATATAATATAATATTATGCAGGCGCGCCGATTTAAATACCGGCACCGCACTCTGTACAAACTATACAAACCATAATATACGTGTTACCCGAATTACCGCGGTGCAATGTCGCAATTTTTTTTTTTATTATTAAAACGTCGTCGAGGCGCAGAAGACGAGTGGGACACCGAATTCGCAAATGTTCACTGGTGAATATTATGTACACGAAAATATTGTGCAAATATTAATCGCTTGTAGTGATCCGTACCCCGGCGGTGATTAGAATGTGTTGCCCAAGTCGTTACATAACAAATTATAAAGTCCACACCTTAATCGAGAAAATCAAAACGGGCTTGAGACACGGCGAAACGAGAAAAAAAATATAAAACAGTTTTTGAACAAGAAACCCAAAATACGACAATCAAATACGTTAAAACACATAATAGGTATTCTTTATCATAATCTTTTAATTGTAGCTTGAGCAATATTATGATAAGATCACGGTACGCTACTATCTAAATAGTACACAATTTTCGGCACATATAGAGAAAAACTATTATTGCTTAATGCAGATGCCCTCTACCAGTAACTGTTTCCTCTGGTCAATGTGTAACAGTCCAGTAACTCTTAAAACCAGAAGCCAAGGTCAAAAACATCGTAATTAAGTGTGATACAAAAAAACGATGGGGATTTTATATGTAGTTCAAATTGTTTCGGTGTAAATTGTAACAAAGGGGTATACAGGATTTAAAACTTAATTAAACTTTTAACTTTTAACTTTTCGTTAGGGTGGAACGAGTGTATAGTGTATTACATAAAATAAGGCCTTTTATAAATATTATAACCATGTCAAATGCGACCCTGCATATATATTTTATTATATCGAGAAAGAAACAGTAATTACCTATATAATCCACTACAATAAACGCTGCAAGGAATTGATGTCTCGTCGGAAGCTGATGCGGAGTAATTCAATTTTTTGACTATAAGTATATGGGATAAGGAATAAAGCATTAACATTTTTTCTATTTTATCAATCAACATAATTCACATCGTGTCTTGTATGGACAGTTATACCAGTGAATGTCAAAATTAATTAAAACCATAACAATTTCGTACATCTGAAAATGTCCCAAATTTGCAAATAAAATTAACAATATAAATAGATTATATTATATTATTATTTCAGGATGTCAACAGTGCTCGAATTGGGAAAAATTAAGTAGAGGAGCTCAAACCAACGATTTAAAAACTGCGTTCCAAGGGCGCAAATTATTCAACACAGACCCGTGGGGGCTTTGCCTCCCTCCCTCACGTTCCTACCTTACATACATTTTGAATACCAGTTTTCAGCAACACATTTTGAATTCCAAACAGGTATAATATATTTTGATAGCAATATCTACATCGACTACATCTCACATTGTTACAGTAGACAAAAAATGTATAATAATATACCTGTTTATTCAATATTTGATATGAAAAATAGTAGAGGTCGTTTTATAATTTACATCAATTGAAATCCACTTTTTAATAAAAATTATTTGAGCATTAGTCTGTAAAAAAAAAGGTGGGCAAGTGGGTGTCGCTCTGCTGTACAGTAGGTTACAAGTGGGTCACTGTATAATGGATGGTATTAAATTTGAATTCAATGATATAATATCATTGTATAAGAAAAACGATTCTGAGCGGTGACGGTATGTCAGTCTATGTATAAGACATATTATATACATATCTATGGTATTAAACAAAAAATTGACCTATAATAGGTACCTATAATAAATTCCAAATTAATCATATCACAATATCCATTAGATACTTATAACACGTTATACATCAACAAAAACCGTGATACTATCATAGATATATAATAGTACACTTTAGAAGTTTCAAGTACCCACGAATAATATTATTCAATCACAACAAAATAACTAAAATAGTTATTCTAGGTTTTTTAATATGTAATTTCGTCCAAATTTGAATTTAAAATGTCTGTAAAAAATAAGTGTGTTCATATATTTTTTAGATTTTTTGGTTACAGTATGAACTATTTACGAGAACCTTTGTGTTGAATTTGCAATCCTTAGCTATAAAAACTGAACATTTTATAATTTATTAATTACAATGATTGATAATTTTCGAAATTTTGATAAATTTTGTCAAAATTTGATCTTTAAATGATTATAAAAAAAAACTGCGCCTATGTATTTTTAATATTTTTCAACTGCTATTGTAACAATATATCAGGAGCCTTGTATTAAATTTTTACACTTTTTGGCCCAACAGATAAAACTTTATTGATATTTATAGAAAAAAAAACTAAAAAAAATTGAAAGCTGTAAATGTCCATAAACATCTCAAAAAGAGTCAAAATATTTTCAAAATTGTATGGTGTATAGAAAATGCTAATTTAAACATTGAGTGAAATTTTCATGTATCTACAGTTGTTCGTTTTTGAATTGCAACAAAATAAGGAAATCGCTACATGAGTAATCGAGTGAATATCCAATGTTGTAAAAATTTGAATTTCAAACGCTCATAAAAATTTAATTTGACTGTCCGGTAGAGATTTTTTTATTGATAAAGGTAGATAATCTTATAAGAAATCTTGTGTTTCATTTTCAAATCTTAGATTTAAAAAGAAAAATTTTTACGAATTCTTAACTCAAAATAATTTGCTAATTTTCGTGATTTTTCCATATTTTGTAAATTTTTGAACTTTAAATGCTTATAAAAAAAAATTGTGACTAAGGATTTTTAATATTTTTCATCTGCCTTTAAAACAACATATTAGGAGTCTTCTATTAAATTTTCTAGCTTTCGCAACCAACAAATAAAATTTTATTGATATTTCTAGAAAAAAAACTAAAAAAAAATGAAAAATGAA